GGCAATGGTTCAATGAATGTTAAATTGCATCGATTTTGTTTGGCAATCTCGTATATAGCTTGATGAAAAAAAAGCCGAAAAATGTTTAATTTATATGAGAGTTACGTCCCTTATGTAAACAATGGACATACACTACTGTAGACAAACAACGATTGTGCAATGAATGTAAAATATATACTGTCTAATCAACACAAATAGCAGTTGATTCGCATTTACTGACCTGTCGGTGAACGTCATATTTGTAACTGACTCAACTCTCACGTAACGTTAGCTGATGGTCTACTCGCGTATGACCAGAAACCACGGATGCGGAAGTAGTGTAACAGTCACAAAACAGTTCAATCAGTGACTAATACAGTACAACTGTCCGTGTATGATATGTACAATACCTGCAGCACGCCTTATCTGTCTGATGCCCAGTCCATGTTGTACACGATCACGCATTCTCTCCGTACTATGGTGTAACTACCAGGTCTCATTGTGTGGCGATATGGGTAGCTTAGGCCACAGGCATTACATGTAGCCTGTCACCTGCAAGGTCAAAGTGGAGTGTCACAGTGGGGAACGCTTAAGGTAGCTTACCGCGTGTGTACACAATTCTTATGTCGAACCGACAAATACGCAATTTGGGTTTTGAAGTTGTATAATCTTATGAAATTATGCCAGACGATTTTTTTTAATTGCCGTACATAATCAGATTGTGAACAGACTTGGGCCTGGTATAAATATTACAATAAAGATAAAAGTGAATTTGATCAGTATATCTGATGGATAACAGCTGTTTAACGTGATACACACCAGTTTCACTGTAACAGGTGTACAGTGTATACAAATCAACATTAATTATGCAGTCGAATCAGAAGCTATATATATATATATATATATATATATATATATATATATATATATTATCAGGAGAAACGACAATAAATTCGTAGATTTTTGCCGAAAAAAATAGGCTTAACTTATTTTAATCCAAAAACAGGTTGAGAACTGGCTTCAAACCTATCAGTATATAAATACATAGTAAGTTGTTATCTTTGTGAATTCACTTACAGCCAACAACTGTACATTCGATGTTGATGCTGTTGCAATCTTTTCCTTTCATTGTTGTTGTTATTTTCATGAAAATTATCGGCATCACTGTTGTCTTCCTAAATCGTGATATTACAAGCAGTTTATTAGCTCTACCCAGGATTTTTTATCCAACTTGTCAGAGAGAATCTTTAGATTATCACGCGTTCCCTTATGTTGTGTACAGAGTTGATAAATAATTTCATCATAACCACTTATTGAAGTTGAGATAAATTGGTTGGTGGAATATTTTCAATATCAATGCATCACGTTCTTTTAGAAACTTTCCTCGTGTTTTCTGCAATGACAGTGTAACTGAACTGGGTTACAAGTATGTCAGAATTGTTTGTTTATAGTAGCGAGTTGATACACTGCCATTTATCATGTATTGATGGTATGTTTACACTGACACTCAAATTCCTCGTCTGATAACGGGTATACCACCCACGGAACATCCGGGTATACAGCACACTTAACTGACACTGGTCTAATACGCATGAAGTTAGTTGTACGAGATGCCTACGACACGTAGCTGGCGTTTTACACTGTTTTCTGCTTGAATGTAACACTGCCACCATAACGGTACTTCTTTTGGTGCTTAGCATTGCTTCCGGTTGGCATTAAATTGTAATTATTTTGGCTTTGCGTTTGGTATGCAGCATTGGTTCCGGTTTAACAGTGATGTGCTTGTTTGTATTTTATTTTATTTCCTGCCGGTATTTTACATTTGATTCTTGTTACATTTATATATAAACAACTGTGTATTTTGTTCTTGTGTACTGACGCATTGGTACACTGTCTCTTTGTGCTGAGACGGGTATGTTTCTTTGTGTTTTAATATTATTTGTTTGCGCTATGGTATATTTTGTCTTTGTGTGTTGAGGCAGTGGTACATTGCCCTTGTGTGTTGACACTAGTACTGTGGTATATTTTGTCCTTGTGTGTTGACACTGTGGTATAGTTTGTCCTTGTGTATTGGCGCTGTGGTATGCTTGGTCCTTGTGTGTTGACGGTGTGGTATATTCTGTCCTTGTGTATTGAGGCAGTTGTACATTTTGTCCTATTGTGTTGACGCTGTGTTATATCTCGTCCTAGTGTGTTGAGGCTGTGGTGTATTTTGTCCTAGTGTATTGGCGCTGTGATATATTTTGTCCTCTTGTGTTGACAATGTGGTATAGTTTGTCCTTGTGCAATGACGCTATGGTATATTTTGTCTTTTTTTATTGACACTGTGGTATATTTTGTCCTGGTGTGTTTACGCTGTGATATATTTTGTTCTTGTTTTTTAACGCTGTGGTTTGTGACTTGGTGTGTTGACGCTGTGGTATATTGTCCTTGTGTGTTAATGCTGTGGTATATTTTGTCCTTGTGTGTTGACACTGTGGTATATTTTGTCCTTGAGCGTTGATGCTGTGGTATAATTTGTCCAGTTGAGATGACATTGTGGTATATATTCTTGTTTGTTGCTGTTGTGGTATATTTTGTCCTTTTGTGTTGACGCTGTGGTATATTTTGTCCTCTTGTGTTGACACTGTGTGTTCTGTCCTTGCGTATAAAATGGTGACACAAAATCTACATAGGACTGGTATCTGAATGTTTTTGAGTGAGTTCTGAAGGCCAGTTTTGACGACCAACTGTTTTTCTTGTAGAATCACACATATTACACATTTTTTGTAAAGTTAATCGTCTTTTCAAGAATCGGATTTCCTCCATACAAAGGATCCGTTTCTGTATTTCATCATAAAGAAATTACTGTTAAATTAGATATATAAGTATCAGATGTACTGTCACTAGTAATTAACGTAAACAAAGGTCACAAGAATGCTCAGTTTCCGTGCTTAGATGTTTTAAATTAATAAATCGATAAAATCTATCGATTTCAGTATGATTTGACACAAATATAGCTTGTACCGTGAATTATCACGTAAAATGTACGATCTCGGCAGTATATTGTCCTTATATCAAACAAGTCATAAATAGCGTTACTTAAGGCTGCAGGTTATATCAAAGTTGACGCCTTGTAATGCGGTACTCGTAAATAGCATCATATAAGACACGAAGTGTTTGAAAGATAATATACAGCCCCGAGATGACGAAGCTATATTACTAAAACGTGATCTGGACCTGTTTCTTTTATCTTGAAACAAACACATATACAATGTATGTACATAGAAAACATCCATTAGATCTCTCCTGCTTGTTTGACCAAAAAGGAGCGTATTGACCGCCTTGAAGTCCTGAATACATGTTCACCATCGTATCGTGGGAACATATCTTATATTGCCTTTATGTTTTGTTTTGTTTGTTTAGTTTGTTTATTGTATTTTGTTGTTGCTGTTTGGGTGGGGTGGGGTGGGGTNGGAATAAATGGTCACCTGGTTAGGTATAAATGGTGATATCACGTATTCGATTTTTATATTTCTCTTATTTGAACATGTACGTGATATCACCAAAATATATTTATGTCATAGTAAAATGTCCCCTCAGAAATATCTGTAGATGTGTATGTAGTAGGTCTGGAGGCTTTTATGCCCCTAGCCCTACTACAATAATAATACGAACCGGAAAACGTAGACTGTATATATGTATATAGGTAAAAAAATTCAAAGACGGAAATATATCTAGCATATGATTATTTGTAAAATTTGGTCGAGTTACAAATCTAGAAGACAGTAACCATTATCCGAGGTTTAAACACGAGTTCATGAAAACGCGTCTATTTGCCAAAGTTATCAACAGTCTTTATCAGTCTTATGTTATTTGAGGGAAAATCCAAGTTTGTGTCCTATCCGATTTTTTGTATATAGATATTTGTGTTAAATTCGCTTGTTGAATAACATTTGCTTTACTAATCTGTCTCTGCATTATCACAACACAGTTAAAATCAACAATACGTGTACAATAGAAATAAGATGAAAGATAATTCTATATTATACAATACACCGAAATCTAGCTAATTTAAGTAGAAATCGTCAGCAAATGACGTCACACGAAAGGGCTCAATGCCCAACTGACGTCACTAGGGATAATACGGGTTATTAGAATTCTTGCCTGACATGCACGCTGAGGGACCGAACCATTATCGGAGCTAAATGTAAATAAACACAATAATTATAGGCTCGTGTTATCCAGCACTGAGCAATAATGAAGAAATCACGTACGTCTACCAAGCCCCTTAGGTGCCCCATGCATGATGGAACACTGACTTAGGGTGAATTAGCTGCTTTACCCGGAACACAGAAATTCACTAACATCATCGATATTGGTGGCAATTTCTTTGAATTAAATAATTCGTGTGTTTCTGTATGAGTTACCACATCAGTTCCCGGCATCGACTTTTCCTTACAGTCCGTGCTGGTATATTTTATGCACCGAGATACTCTCTGCAATAAGTGTCATCATATGCATAAGTGCAACACAACAACATAACGTTTAATTGAGCAATCAACGTTAATCCTGATCAATAAGTATTAAAAGGGTGAAAACATGTCAGTCTATTCAAATTAAGAGCTTGCTCATATGAGTATATAAAAATAACTAGTTTAGCAACCTAAGTAACAAATAAAAAAAATATACTGTATTGAAAATAAAATAAAATTTTAACAGCCGGTAATGCCAACTCCTATCAAAAATAAATCTGCCCGCAGGCCAGTACGAGTTATGCCCCCTGAAGCACCTGTAACATTCACCGCATTCCAAAGGCTGTTCAATCAATGTGGCCGCTTAGTATAATAGTACGTTAGACCTTGCAATAATTGATGTTTCAACTAAAAAGCAATTAAATTTTAGAATATGCATTGAATGATGGGGTAAATTGATAATAAGTTTTGAATCAATTCCATACAAACAACGTTTTCTTGCTTACAATATTTCAAAATATGGAGAATAACATTAAAAATCGGCCTTTCTTGCGGGCTTTACTCGAATAGCGGAAGTAGCGTTAGTCACTGTTTTGGTATTGAATCAACTACTTCCGTGGAACTTTTTAACAGCAAAAAAACGGTAAATATACAGGTATTTTGGCCATTTTGAGTCAGTTTAGCAAATCTAGCGATATACTGTACTAATTTTCTACGTTATTGACAATTGCTTATCAGTATACGTGGTGTATTATAATAAAGGCACCATCTGATCCCTCCCGGTGTCTACGATATTAACAACGCCAGACTGGACTCAATATTTTTACTAGTTAAACTGTTTTAGGGAGGGGTCTGTCTGTCGAGTATCGGGGGAAAGTTGCATCACCGTCAACAATAATATAAGGTAACAGTAACGTCTTTAACAGATACAAATATGTTGCACGTAGTGAAATGACCCCAACAACCTGTTAATTGAAAAATTCACCTGTTCTTGAAATCGGTACACTGGGTGCGAACTGTCTGCTTATATATTTCAAACAGGCTAAAGCTACATAACATACACATTAGTGTTTGTGGGCTGGACTTCACCTTGTTCTTGATAAGGCTTTCTTCTAACCAATAGCATTTACCTATTTAAAAAACAAATGTCGTTTTCCTAAAATATTGTAGTCAAGATTGGTACAATATACAAGAAACTTTATTTTTGTCGTATATATGTAACATGAAACATTAGCTCTGAAGAGCTATTCTTATGACAGAACATATACAAATATCACACTGGGCATAATGTAACAAAACATGCATTAAGAAACAAAAGCACGACAAAATACTATTGAAAGCCCTGATTGGTTAAAGAATATCTGTTCGTTATATGGACTTAAGTTAATTTCTAGACATAAGGCCTGGAACAGGCAGAAGTGCTGATGTGACCCTTATAAAGAACTCATTATCTTATTATTTGATTATAAAATACAGAAGCCAAAGGTGTTATACTGTTGGAAGTTACTTCTGTAAAAAGTGTTTGTCTATCACACATCGGCAATAGCATCGATTATAAAGAATGGTTGTTGGTTGAAATATAACCCTGATTGAACCCTGGCTATCTTTGTGCGAAGGGCGTGTGTGCTATCTGTTGGCACTGGACCACCCTTTAGCATGCATAAGTTTGTTATAAATAGCATGTACGTGTGTCATTAATTACATCGGAGGATTAACATCTAAAGAATTTGAAACAGAGCAGACAGGAGACTCACTAGATCAGACTAGGGACTTAAGACTTTCTTTGAGAAACATTTCTGTGAGATTCCACCTTACTTTGAGAACCCACTATATCTCTTAATATTTGGACTTGTCAACATTTTTAAGAATAATCTTGAGGACTTGATAGAAAAAAGTTCTACACAAATCACCTTGTGGTCACAGGTGTATTATTTTGAATTCATGTTTAATATTTGTGTTGTTTGATTGCATTGACAGGTTGGGGCTTAGGTTGAAGAGATGAGTACTACTAGTCCCAATGGTTTGGGGACCCTACAGATCAAGTGGGACCCCAAAAATTTGGAGATCCGGACCAAATCAGTGGAAAAAACACTGGAGCCATTGGTCACACAGGTAAAATTTTAATTTGGTTTAAATGATTACAGCATCACAAAGTTAATAGGGTGATATTCTGTTATCTGTTCAACATTATAAAAAGAACATATGAATTAATTAATGCTTATTCATTAATATTTTAGAATAAAAAACTATGATTGACTTTATATAATGCATGGTAGCATATTTTGTTTATGTTGTAATTATAAGTTTTCAGCAATAATGACAGAACTTAGTATGTTTGTTTTCAAAACAAATCAAAATTAGCAATTTAATGATAATTTAAAAAAAAACATGCATATTTAAGTTGAGAATCAGATGTATATGTTTCCCCAGATTTAACTTCATCCTATAATACTTTTGGTATGATAAAACCTCGTTAGTCAAACATCTTTGTTCTGGATTAATATCTTTTTTAGATTTAGGGTAATTTGTATTGGAACGAAGTTATTGAATGTATTATAAAAAAATAAATGTGGTGATCTGAGTTGAATTAATGAGGTTACAATGAAAAAGATAGTAAGACTGGTTGCCGTGTTTATATTGTTACTGGTTGCCATGGTTATATTGTTACTGGTTGCCATGATTATATTGTTACTTGTTGCCATGGTTATATTGTTACTGGTTGCCATGGTTATATTGTTACTGGTTGCCATGGTTATAGGTGACCACTTTGGTGAACCAGAAGAGCCCATCCAACAAGAAGAAGGGCCGATCAAAGAAAGCCCACATCCTCAGCGCAGCTGTACAGAGAGCCACAGAAAACTTCATCGCAAAGGGCCACGAAATTGCCAACGAAAACCCAGACATCCGAGCCGATCTTATTGCAGCATTGGACGAAGTGAAGAAAACAGGTAATTATGAATATTTTTAAGAGTATGACTAAATCTCAAGTGCAGTCTCTTCATGACTGTCACAAAGCGGCAGTGTACACACATGTATATGTCAGCCATGTTGTTTCCTACAGTTAAATTGCATGTTTACACTATGTATATGTAAAACAGTTGCCGACTGCAGCAACTTGCATACTTTTGAGTACTGTGATCGAATTTATGAATTTTACAGTCAAAGTCAATAACAAAGACAAGTTTTGATTATTCTAATGGGGACCATCTCAGAAGTCCCCCAAACAAAGGTGTCAATCAATTAAAGGCCACGATGGCCATGTTTGATGACCAATCAGAAATGGAAACATGTAACACACGTGTATATATACATCTACCAATGCTTGTGTGAAGTTTCATAAGAATCCTGCAAGTTGTTTCAGAAAATAGCTCAAGAAACCCTTTTTTGGAAGGTTGATAAATTAAAAACCACAGCAAAATCAATATGTCGGCCACTTCATTTTGGGTGACTAAAAAAATAAATAATGGCTGATCACATTAGCTACTTTTTTAGACAGATTTTGATTCTATTACACAAACTGCTACGTTTCTTACAGGAGAGGAGATGAGAGATGCCTCCCAGGATTTTGCGGCTGACCCCTGCTCGTCTATGAAGCGTGGTGCCATGGTGAGGGCGGCCCGAGCTCTCCTGTCTGCGGTTACAAGACTTCTCATCCTCGCGGACATGGTGGATGTGCATCTGTTAATGAAGTCTCTCAGACTGGTAAGTGACACAAAAACGGAAGAAGGTCGGTCGTCACTGAGTCTTCAGTGATAAATCTGTGCCAGATTCGAGGTAAAATTTCACAACTCTGAACTAACTGTGACTAAAGGTAAAACTTATACTAGTGACCTTTTAACAGAATTTAAAAAATACCCCAGTAGAATTTACACACTTACCAACTCGTCTGTGTGAATTTTGTTAAAATAAATCAGTATGCGACACAAAATAGAATTCCTAGGAAAAACGACATTAAGGTTAATTTTGTATCAATGTTCACTGTTTTGTGAAGTTTTCAGGGTTTTTGCCAGCTATTTTGGGAAAACGCCCCTTAGCAGGAATTGGGAAAATATCATCCGCATTTGACAAAAATTGGGAAATTTCGTCAGTGTCCCCACATGTACAGGTTTGGAGAAATATCATAAGTTTCGAAAAAATAAAACCTACAATGTATAGCAATAATTAAACACATCAATTTTCAGTGTTTTAGTTTATTCAATTTCAAATTTTCGTTATTTATGTATTTTGAATGCTGGAAATTTGTATCAACATGCTTTTTAATCCAGTTAGGAAATTAAGACGGAAATTGGGAAAATACATTTTTCAATTGGGAAAGGGTCCTTTTACCGGACCCTATAAATACCTGGCAAAAACCCTGGTTTTATTAAACATATACCAGATATTTCAATTCTCTTATCTACACAAATACTGTTAGGTTATTTACAGAGCAAATTAGTAAACATCGGGTTGTATTTAAAGAGAAAATGAAAGTAAAAAAGAATTGAGGAGGAAATAGGTTTCTTTTAAAATTTTCATATAACTTCACTCCGCTGTTTTAATGGTGTTATCAGTTTATATTTTTGACAAGAAAGCCTCAGTTTTAAAATGTTAGCAAAAGTGACGTCCTACTTAAAGAAATGTCATAAGAAGGTACTTTAAATGTCTCTAAAAATATTTAGAATCTTATATTCAGCAAGTTCCCGTTTCATAATATTGCTTTTAATTAAGCTTCAATTCAAGTAGTTTTAATGCTTTTGATCATCGTTTAACCAAAACAATTTCTGAATTAACTCATTCACCCCTGAAGACATATTTGAGCTCTTCCAATTCAATGGTTGGAATAGTTCATTATGAAATTTCAGGGGCGAGTGAGTTAAAAAAAATGAATACCAGTATTATAATTGTTATGAATTTGTGGCATCAACCATGGTCTTCCTTGTAAAATAAAATTTGCATTATCATCTACTACATATCATAAATTAAAACTAAGGGTGTTTCTATCACTGATTGATTGATTGAGTGGTTTTACCATGTAGTTCGGTTATCTAGCAGACGATATTCTATTACACTGTATAGCAGCTAAGGAATATGATAAATATCTGTCTGTTTTGTTATGGTTAGGTTGAGGGTGACCTTGACCGCGTAAGGAATGCAGCCAGCCAACAGGAGCTTATGGATGGATTCAAAGACCTGGGAGAAAGCTTGGCTGACCTCGCTGCCAAGGCTCAGCAGAGACAAAATGTAAACACTATAATATTTGCTCAAGCCCCCGCCACAAAATGGGGGTCATTTAGTGTTGCCCATGTCCATCCCGTCCCATGATCAAAGTTGGTCCGGGGCATTCATGTCTTACAGACATTATCTAGTTATTAAATATTGACAGTTGTTCAACATAAATATAAATTTTGAGTGAAGAGGTCTAATATACATTGAATACAGTGGTACATAGATATGAATTTCTCTCCAAGACATTAACAAAAAACACTGATTAAAAGAAAGAAATTTAATCACAATATGTCTCGGTATTAATATCATAAACTATATACTTGTGTAACTTGTTTATATTTGAAATGGAATTCTTTGGAGCAATAGTTTGCATACATGAACAGCACCAACATTTTCTTTTGTCAATACACTTGTCGGAAACTTCCTGCGCTTATGTATAAAATGTATAAAAATTATCAGTTGATGTAAAAAAATGAATGTAGAATATTAGGATGTTTACAGTAGTTGTATGTGATGTCCACTTGTAGGATCTAAAGGACCCTCGGAGGCGTGATGAGATTGCAGCAGCTCGGGCCGTCCTTAAGAAAAATAGTATGATGCTCCTCACAGCCTCAAAGGTAGGCACAAGCTACACGTAGGGTATTACAACATTTAATTATCGGGTTTGTTCGATCAGTGTACATATTTTACCAAACATCAAACACAACCAAAAACACTTGATTTATTCATTTAAGTAGTAGCTCCAAGTTCCAACATGAGTTATAGATTGGTAAATCAGTTGAGTGCTTCACTCGTGTGGATTAGAAGGGTATGCATGTTGCATTGATTGGTGTTACATATGTTCCAATCTCAACACAGCTAAGGTTCTAATGGAGACTTACTAAAGGGATGAAATCAGTCGCCCAAATAAATAACCACCCAAACTGGTGACGCCTAATTAGCTGTGTTGTGATTGTAACTCCTCTCCTTGATTTATTCATGTTTTGAATTAATAAAACATCACAGGTATTTAGGAATTTTGCAACATTTAAAAGGTGGTTAACTGTTTTTATACATTTTTCATTGTATTTATTGTGATAGGCTTACATCCGCCACCCTGAACTAGCTCCAGCCCGAGAGAATCGGGACTTTTCTTACCAACAGCTCCTGGACGCTGTCAACACCATCTCGGGAGTAGCACAAGCTTCCGGGGCATCCGATGCTCATCCTTACGATGGGGCCGGAGAACTGGCTGCAGCACTTGATGAACTCATGGTACATATAGTGTTCCCTGTCCTGTCCTGTCCCAATTCACTGTCATCACTCTGACAACTTGTTTCTCAACTCATTCACCCCTTTCATAATGAACTATTCCAACCTTTGAATGGGAAGAGATCAAATGTGTCTTTAGGGGTGAAAGACCGTGTTAACTGATTTTGATAATTTATACAAAAATCAAATTAGATAATATCTTAAATAAGTTTGATTTCAGTGTTCCAAGATGACTATTATTATTTAGAGAAATTTGTCAAATATTGACACGTATTTGCAAAATGGCACAGATTCTACATACAAAGCCAGGGGTATTGTAAACAGATTTTACTGCAGTGTCTACGTAATCTGACACAAAGCATATCAAGTTTATTTTTAAAATGTTTTTCATGGTCCCGATGAAAAAAGAGGTTCTGCTGTTGTCTAAAAATGCATTTCTATGGAAGAAAGATTTAAATCAGGTATAAATAAGTGTGAGTTTCCTGAGGAACCCTTTGCTTCGTTATTGTGTAGATGCAGTACCAATGCTACTTAAAAACTGACTTTGTTCAACACCAGCTAATGGTCATTTTCACCTTAAAGATTGATACCGCAACTTCAGATGTCTTCACTGTCTAAGTAAGCATCGTGCCCATTTACACCATCATTTTAGCTCATTCGTTCTAAATTTTTGTTTTCAGCAAAAGATAATCATGGATCCTTTATCCTATAATGAAGTACGAACCCGACAGTCCCTGGAGGAGAGGTTGGAGAGTATCATCAGTGGCGCCGCCCTGATGGCTGATTCCTCCTGTACCCGTGACGACAGACGGGAGAAGATTGTACGCGAATGTAACAATGTTCGACAGGCCCTCCAGGATCTTCTGTCGGAGTACATGAGTAATGTAAGTAATGAGCCCATGTGCAATACTCACACATTGAGTAGCGGTAAAAGGTTTTATAAATGTTTCACTCTAGTAACTTCACAAAAATATTCATTTTACTAAACACTAAAAGGTATGTGTACATTAATTAACGGATAGTGTACAAGAAAAAAACCCAAAGTAATATTTTATTTTCAAAAATGTTCAGCAATTATGCCGGGTTGTCTGTTAATCAAATGTTTGTAATCTTATATCTAGGAAAGTTGTTTTAAAAATATAGAGAACAGATTTTTCTTGGGTCATTTTACATGTGGTTTTGTACATGTATATAAATGTATACATGTATTTTGTTTTAAAATTTTCGAAGTGTTCATTTTCAGTTTATGTTTTTTTTCTCCATATTGTTGTGATAATGTGTTTATTTTACAGTGTAGATCATAGAATGATATTTTTCAATGAAAAGAACATTTTACTTTAAAATGTGCCTGCCACCCTTAATTGATAAATTTAGGTATAGCGATTATTTGTTGATGATAATAGGTAATCAGTTAATATAATATCTAAACAATTAACAAGTCTGTTTTTCTAAAATCACTTTTGAAAATGAAGTGCACTTACAATAATGAATATCACATTAAATTAACATGACATAATATGACGCACTTTTAATAACAAATAGAGATGGAATCCTATTATTTTAAAAGTAACTGAAATTATAATTGATTAATGACAATTTATACTGATAATTTTTTTAGCTCTGAGCTAACATTTTCTGTTAACGAGTGCTATATAATGCTTTACAGACTTGTGCCGGGCCTGATTCTAACTGACTTATACTGCTGTTTAATACTTTCTCATCCATCACAGTGTCACATACCAGCATCCTTGTTTGGAAAGTTGAATCCCTCCGTGGTTCAGCGAGTCATTGGCTACTCCGTAAACTTTCAATCTTTCTTGGCATGGAATGCAAAGTTCTCGCCGAGTTTGTCATACAGCGACTGTGCGCTCCTATTTGTGTATATGCAAATATCTGTCAAATTCATGATCATGCATATTCATGTTCGTGTATCCCAGTCATGCATATTCATTATGTGTGTCATACATATTCATGTTTGTGTACCCCAGCCATGCATATTCATTATGTGTGTCATACATATTCATGTATGATAATTTCATGATGTGTAAAGAATTAATACAAAACAAAACTAACCAATTAGACATTAAAACACTTACATCACCATCTAAAGGCAGCTGTAGTGATTTACATGTTTGTTTTCTCGACATATTTGTTTGGAGATTGTTGTTGTTGTTGTTTTCATTTGTTTTGATTCCCATTATGCATTTTCTCTTCAATCACAGGTTCAGTGTAGAAATGGAATGATTTATCCACAGTTTTGATATTATTTGTAGTTTTAGTGTGAGAAATGCAAAACTATTTAATCATAACTCCAAATGTATTGGGCTTTATCTTTAGTATATAAAAGTCTGACTATGTTTGTCATAACGTGGGGCTAACAGACATGTGTTAACTCTCACAGTGTGTTATACTTTGTCTACCCATTAGCTAATTAAGACCTGTACGCACAATCTTTGGATTGAAATTTATAAACATACTGTATCCAAACCCAACGGGAGACATATTCATAATGTATACAATCAGTAAAAAATATACTACGATGACAATTTACGTCTGAAATAAGTTAGTAGTACCATAATAATATGTACTAGGCTTTATACAATACCCAGCATGTGTATATGAATGGCAATGTTTTACTCAAAGTCCAGAGAGCCTAATCCTGAGACGGGTGTGCCAACTGGTACTGAATTTCTATTATTTTGTGCCATCATTTAAATCATCGTAATGCTAACTAGCAGGAGGAGATCCTAACTATTTTTATAGATACATGTATGTCATATTTGATGTTAGTGTTATGTTCTTATGTGATTCAACTTTTGAAAAGACTAGCACTGATACTCTATAATTGTCAGTTAAAAAAAGAAACAGCTATATATAATCATATGTGACAGGAGAGGAAAAATGCACAGCCAGACCGAGGTTCGAACCCGGGATCCTCCGAACTCTAGACAGATGCTCTACCAATTCAATTGACCTATCTGGTCGCTGACGATTGACCCAGTCCAGTTCCGCTACATTCTTCCCTCCTTTAACAAAGTCTTCGACCCCGGAGACACACAAAACCCTATACCACCTTCTGTGGGTATATTTTGTTGGGCGCCAAATGTAACAGGAGAGAAAAAATGCACGGCCAGACTGGGGTTTGAACCCGGGACCCTCCGAACTCTAGATGGATGCTCTACCAATTGAGCTATCTGGTCGCCGACGATCGACCCAGTCCTGTTTCGCTACACATATAATGTAATCTTGTATATGTTTTGGATATGACAGTCGGTATTTTGTTTATATTGTGCTGCTGTGATTTCTAGTTTTAGTTAAGTTGTCATCAAGGCATGTAACGTGTTACTGCAATGTGTTACTGCATGTTCTGTGGAAGTTTCTGTTTTCGTGTGTTGTGACATAAACAATTCTCTCCTAGGTCAACGGGAGAGACATTGGTGTGAGCAGTTCATGTCAACATTGAGTTTTGTGGTGTTAAGGAGAATTATTTGCCAAATATTTCCCTGACGAGAAGATATACAAAGGGCCTTTCCTTCTAATTGTTCCAAAGATTTTGTTGGGTGATTTTTATTTGAAAGGAGGCTGACATATCCAAAATCCTTCAAGCCTAGCAAATAATTACGATTAAGATGAAAATAAATGTGTAAAAAATATTTAGACTTGTAGATGTTTTTTTCAGCATATGAATTATTACTTGGTTAATTTTTCAGTAAGAAACTGGAAAAGATGGTCATGTTTTTATATTTCAGAATTTTGATCTAAAAGAATAGGTATACATATCAATATTCAAAGAGACTTAAGATTAAACCTTATTTTTTTGCCAAAAGATTTCATTTCTTAGTTCTATGTGTGTACATGTCACTGTGTGTTTATACTGTACATGTATACATAGCCATTTACATTTTTACGCCAGTGTATAATTAACTCGCAGTGACTGTTCTGTAGAGTTTTGGGTGAACATACAGTATATGATAATGATACAATATACATTGTATTATATTATAGGTGACTGATTAGTTTTAGATCACAAAATACAATGTGCGTCACTTGGTAGTTTTAGATCACCTGCTTGTATCACTATACTGAAGCTGTAGTCAAATGCATGGAGGAATTCTATCGTCTTGTTCAGATATAGAAATATCTCGCAGTGTATAATGATGACCAGAGCTTTTGTCTTCAAATGGCTGAAATTTTCTTTGCTGAATTTAATCAAAGTTAATGGAAATTTTATATAATACATTTACATATGGAAGATACTTCACAGTGTATTCCGTCTTTGCGTATTGTAGAGTTATCTTCTCTTGAGAGCAGGTATTGATTGTTACGTCATTGGTTTGTGTGAGAAAATTACGTCGTTTTCTCAAAAATTGATAACGTTACTCTCGCAAACAAATAACGTAACAATCAATACCTGCTATCAAGAGAAGATAACTCTGCAATACGCAAAGACGGAATACTGATGATCAGAGGTTTTTTCTTCAAAAGGCTGATGTTTTTTCCTGCTGAATTTAATCCAAGTCAATGAAAGTTTTTATGTAATATATTTACATGTGGAAGATTAGTTATAGTTCACATAAAAAGTTCTCTGAATTATTTGAATCCCTTCTATTTATATATTTTCCCTACTGTACAGTAGTATTTGTTATACAGGGTAAGTTTTGCTGTAGTACTGTTACGGTTTTTGTTGTGCAAAGAATCTGCAAATTCACGACACGACAGCAAACATCTCTCGTATTGCAATCAAGTTGTCAAGCTTGAAGCCACCAATTGAATTTTACTGCACACATGTGTCTTCATTTATATATAAGGTGAAAAAAACACGGTGTAAAATGAAATCTATAGGCAATACAATGTGGGGCCTGGGAATGAAGTAGATCAGAATTTACAGTACACTATACAGTATTATCCGAGATACGAAGATAGTCCATCAAAACCCATTGTACAATACATTATGAACAAAAACAGAAGTTGCTGTATTGTAAATTGAAAATATTTTTTACTTTCTTCTTAACATCAGAAGGGGAGGCAGCCAATTACCATGACAATGTATACAGTGTTTCAATGTTATAATCTACTGTTACAGATATTTTATGCTGATGTTGAGGTATTTGACAGTGTACAGTTCAATGTTTGATAAATATTTTGTGTATTTCAGGGGTGGGTGTAATTGTGCTGTGTATGTGATTTCATCGTTTGTTTGTGTGTTTCAGTCTGGACGTAGTGAGCCTAGTGAAGGATTGGAACAGGCCATAGAAAACATGCAGAAGAAAACACAGGATTTACGTAGACAGGTAAGACTGATGTTGTTCATGTAAAAAATCACATATACCAAGGAACAATTATAACAGTGTATTTGTGACAAATTCCACACTAAAAAAACCCAACAGATATTGTGTAGCTGAATATTTCTATCAAAGGAATAATTAAAAAAAAATGTTTCTGGGTTTAAGGCTGTATGCTACCTTATTTCTATGACATGCATAACTTTTTATCAAAATAGGTCCACATAAATAATGGGACTTTGTGTATTAGTTAATTACACTTTCAGAGTGTTAAACATCAATGCATCCATAACTAGTAGCGTAATGTTTATCAAAGTCTCATGGAAGATTGCTCCTAACACAAATCACACATTTAATGTGTAAGGTAGCATACACCCTTAAATCTAACACAAGTATAATGTGTAAAATAATAAAAATCTGCACCATAACGCAAAATACAGGTACAATGCATTAAGTAGCATATACTCCAGGGCTTAAATTGTTTTACTTCAAGGTCAATTCTTGATAGTTGGTTGATGGTTAGAAAAAAAATGTATTGACTTTTCATATGTATAAATAATCATAAGATTTAGAGGACTTCATCCTCATCCTATCACGTGCTGAAATGTTTCACTTATAATCAATGTAATTTTACAGTTGAGAAAAGCTGTGGTTGACCACGTGTCTGACTCCTTCCTGGAAACCAACGTGCCCCTGCTGGTCCTCATTGAGGCCGCCAAGGCTGGAGACGAGAAGGGTGTGGAGGAGTACGCCAAGGTGTTCGCAGAACACGCCAACAAACTTGTTGAGGTATATGTCCTTTTTTCTTTTATCTTCAGAATTATTTACTAGTCGTTGTTCTGAAATGTGATTTGATTCCTTTATTCTATCATTATCACTCATCAGTTTTCAGTCTTTCAGTTTTACATTTGGTTGATTAGCCAAGAGCTGTTCAGTGTTGCAAAGCTTAAAATTTAGGTTGATTAAATTGACGATCACAATAATGATCAAATCAAAGAATTCATCGATCTGATCAAATCAATGATCATATGTATATTTTTAGGTCACCTGAGCTTTGCTCAAGTGACCTATTCCAATCGCTTTTCGTCCGTCCGTCGTCCGTCGTCCGTCGTCTGTCGTCTGTCGTGCGTCGTGCATCGTGCGTAAACTTTTACATTTTCAACTTCTTCTCAAGAACCAGTGGATGGATTTTTTTCAAACTTGGTCAGAATCATCCTTGGTAGATGAGGCTTCAAAATTGTAAAATTGGGATTCCTACCCCAACCCCTGGGGCCAGGGCGGGGCCCCAAAGGGAAAATTATCCAATATTTCAAAAATCTTCTTCTCCAGACTCAGAGGTACTACAGTGATTTTCTCTACGTGGAAAGAAAGATCATCAGGGGCTTTACTTAAATTGTAAATTTCAGGACCCCCGAGCTATCCGTTCTCCCTTGGGGAGGGGGTAAAGTTTACTATAGTTTATATAGGGAAATAACACTTTTGGGTATATTTTGACAACTTTCTGTAGGAAATTATTTTTACTTGGTGAGAATTATCCTTGGAGGTAGATGGTTTCAAATTGTAAAATTGAGATTCCTACCCCGACCCCTGGGGCCAGGGCGGGGCCCCAAAGGGAAAATTAATCAATATTTCAAAAATCTTCTTCTCCAGACTCAGAGGTACTACAGTGATTTTCTCTACGTGGAAAGAAAGATCATCAGGGGCTTTACTTAAATTGTAAATTTCAGGACCCCCGAGCTATCCGTTCTCCCTTGGGGAGGGGGTAAAGTTTACTATAGTTTATATAGGGAAATAACACTTTTGGGTATATTTTGACAACTTTCTGTAGGAAATTATTTTTACTTGGTGAGAATTATCCTTGGAGGTAGATGGTTTCAAATTGTAAAATTGAGATTCCTACCCCGACCCCTGGGGCCAGGGCGGGGCCCCAAAGGGAAAATTAATCAATATTTCAAAAATCTTCTTCTCCAGACTCAGAGGTACTACAGTGATTTTCTCTACGTGGAAAGAAAGATCATCAGGGGCTTTACTTAAATTGTAAATTTCAGGACCCCCGAGCTATCCGTTCTCCCTTGGGGAGGGGGTAAAGTTTACTATAGTTTATATAGGGAAATAACACTTTTGGGTATATTTTGACAACTTTCTGTAGGAAATTATTTTTACTTGGTGAGAATTATCCTTGGAGGTAGATGGTTTCAAATTGTAAAATTGAGATTCCTACCCCGACCCCTGGGGCCAGGGCGGGGCCCCAAAGGGAAAATTAATCAATATTTCAAAAATCTTCTTCTCCAGACTCAGAGGTACTACAGTGATTTTCTTTACGTGGAAAGAAAGATCATCAGGGGCTTTATTTAAATTGAAAATATCAGGACCCCGAGCTATCCGTTCTCCCTTGGGGAGGGGTTAACGTTTAATATAGTTTATATAGGGAAATAACACTTTTCGGTATATATTTTATCCATTTTCAGCAGAAAATTGCTCAAACTTAGTCAGAATCATCTTGGGTAAATGAGAGTTTTACTTTGTAAAATTAGGATTCCTGCCCCATCCCCAGGGGCTAGGGCGGGGCCCCAAAGGGAACATTTACCAATATTTTCAAATTCTTATCCATTGATGACATGACAAGTATTGTATTTCACTTAGTTTACATGCTGATTTCCACATCACATCTAAACAATAAAATAAAGCTACCAGTACCTATGATATAACTCAGGTGACCGCTAAGGCCCTTGGGCCTCTTGTTATTAATGATTACAGCAGTGATCAGTTTTTTCATCCTAAATTGAATAAACTCTGTGTTATCACTAGAATATGCCTTGATTTACTTTATCCACACACCCTTGGATTAATTTCAACTTTGCTGAATATAATATGTATCCTTTGGTACAGTATTTCGGTGAGATAGCACTATAAAGTCGGGTACAGATCCGCACTACAATAAAGAGGCAAATACACCAACATATACCCTGCCTCCAGCACACACATACACACATGTATGCATACACAATACACGTGGATGCATGTCTTTAAATGACCTTAGTTGTTGATAGGACATTAAACCCTGTACAACCAACCCTATAGTAATAACTTGTTTTAAAATGATTTCTCCAGGTGGCAAGACTGGCCTGTTCCATGTCCAGTAATGAAGAGGGGGTGAAGCTTGTCCGCATGTCCGCTGCCCAGATAGAGAGCCTCTGTCCCCAGGTAAGGATATTTATAAGGCCCTCTGGGTCATGTGATCAGCAATCCTTCACTGGGCCTTCACTCTTGTTTCTCTGATTGTCTATGCTGTTTCTGTTGTTTTGTATTGGAGATACTGTACATGTGCTGATTATATAAGGACAATATTTACTTATTTGAATCCAGAACATATTTGTGAGATTTTAAATTCAAGAAATAACAAAACATGAAACCAATTTGTGTTCAGTCCTGTTTGAAAAAACAGGATTTTTTTAAGATATTAATTTAAAGATTTTTTTTTTTTTGATATTTGCATTTGTCCTTTATATAAGAAAATATTGAATCGTCTTTATTGATTATGATATTGAGGACTGTAATCTTCAGTGACAAATATCAGGTGTATTTCTAATCCTTCAACCCGAAAGTGTGAAACTTTCACGAGGTGAACAAATTGAGGACACATTCGCAAAATTTTGAAATTACATCCCTGTTGAAAATCAACAACTTCATTGTGTCAGTATTCGGAAATTAGATTTGGGGTAACTGGGTGTGTGTGATGAAGTTGAGGGAGTAGAGGAAGGTACCTATAATTAAGTATGTATGATGGATGGGATCTACACTAATTAACGTCTGTGAAGTGTTCCCTCTAATGTATATAAAATACTGTAAAAGTCCCTAATGTAGTCATAGGTTGTTAAATTTTCGTTGAGACAAGAATGATTTTGTAAACAGTTAAATTGTTATTGTGAACAGAATAATTATACATTTTTTTTTTTTATTGATGATAATATATTTGCTAGTTTATATAGTTACAATACTAGGTGAATGCACGTTTATATTTAATTTTAAAGGTCATTAATGCAGCCCGCATTTTGGCCAGTCGTCCAAGGTCAAAGGTTGCTCAGGAAAACATGGATGTCTTCAAGGACACATGGGAAGGTCAAGTGAGGATATTGACCGACGCTGTGGATGACATCACAACCATTGATGACTTCCTGGCTGTGTCAGGTATGTGAGAATATCAGATTCATACATCTGATCTTATGATACTAAATTGTGTTAATATTCAGTTGTCTAACGTGCCTCACTATGTGTTAACTCTTACAATTTTCATTTGATATAAAAAAAAAGCAGCATCTGAAACAACTTTGAGTATTGCGTTTATAAAGAATTATATATTTCAAGTTCATAACCGGTAAAATATTCTTCTGAATGTATACAATTTTTGTAGGATTTCTTTTTTTTCATATTGTGTTATTATATAAGTAAGCATTAAAGGGGCTGGTCGGGGAAAAAAATGCAAAATAAATGGGTCTAAATGTGTTCTCTGGCTTTCCAAAAGTTATCCCACGGCAATATGATGGTCAAGTTCTGCTTGCAATGTCCAGTTTTGACCACTGAAATCTCGAGGAATCCCCGCGTAAATTTCGCGCAGATCTATTAATATATGTCACGTGGTTGTTTCGAAAGTGAGGCAGTGAAGATAACAACAATAGCACGCCGTCATGTGCCATGTCGGACTCAACTAGTGGACAAGACAGCAATACTATACGTAATAATTGTTTTCAAAGTTCATGTATGATGCAAGTGTAGTATTGCTACCTATATGTTGTTGTTGTATATAACGGTATTGATACCTCGTGCCTGTCATGACTTTTGCATGCATCTTTTTCTTTCACCGCGATGTTTCCATTTGGCCTTGTTGATGACGCAAGTGCGGTAAAATTACATCACTGATCTGGGTCAATTGAAAGTTTTAGACTGTCAGGTGACGATTTAGGATTTCTTAATATAATTATAATTTTTACTCTTAGGGAGTGGATTTCAGCAAAATTTGAATCGGTATATTTCATAAGAAGGTATTTTAAACATGTTTATGCCATTTTAGCAAATATGACATTTTTTCCCTGACCAGCCCCTTTAATAATTCAGGTTGATGCCTTTGGTCTAGTGTATCAATCCTTACAAGTTTCCCATGCAGAGTTGTCTTTCCTTTGCAGAAAGCCACATCCTTGAGGATGTCAACAAGTGTGTTTTGGCCCTACAGGAGGGAGACGCTGACACACTTGACCGCACAGCTGGAGCGATCCGTGGGCGGTCAGCAAGAGTGTGTAACGTGGTGTCGGCGGAGATGGACAACTACGAGAATGGCAATTACACTGATAGAGTCATGGAGGCTGTTGCCATGCTTCGTGATCAGGGTCAGTTTAATGCTTTAACACAATGATGTTCAGGGAAATCTTGGTTATCCAGGCTCTTAATAATCCTGACCACCGATATTTAGTTATATTTTGAGTATTCTGTAATGAGATATCAGTCTGTCCCTTGTGAATTGTGCTGTTAATTGATAAATATGGCTTCTAACTCTCATTTTGTGAGATACGTGTTGTTATGTTCAGTAACGAATAAGGGCCACTCGATAGTTCAGATAGTAAGTCTTTTAAATATGTATGTCCACAGGTGAAAATGAATTAGTAGTGAAAATTAATTGATTCACAGTATATAATAATAAATCAACAAATACTGGATTAGATTTTCTATGATTGAATGCATTGTCAGTTGTAATGCCTAACTTTTGTCAATTTCACTCATGTTAATGCCTAACTTATGTCACAATTTTACCAAAAGTTGTGCCTAACTTGTGGCACATTTTTTACCCCAAATTTTGCCTAATTTGTTTCACTCTTTTACAACAGTGATGCCTAACTTTGCGGAGAAGGTGGAGAATGCTGTAGATGCCCTTAGCAGCAATCCCCCACGTGACCCTGATGAGAGTGATTTTTACGATGCTTCCCAGCTGGTGTATGATGGAGTACGTGATATTCGCCAGGCGGTGCTAATGAACAGGGTAAATATTAGTAGAATGTGTGTATTCAAATGAGCTGCTACAACATGTTCTTATCACTAGCTGATTATTGTTGTTACTTTCACACATCGGCTCAGTAGGACGGCTGTAGATGTAGTTATTTACAACTTAAGTCTGTAACTCTTGAATTCTGTCGGTTTTTATTGATTGGGTATGGGATTAACGTGAAGTCCACTCATGACAAGCCTGAACCAATGAGATAAGCAGATTGTATAAAGTGTCGTGATAGACCCAAGTTTAATAAATATTAGAATAGCTCCACTTTCATACAAATTTACCGGGGAATTCTCTGACGGTTTAAACGTTTAACATATGTAATTGAGAATTTACTGTTGAATTAGGAAAGTATTGTCCCAATTACACATGAATTTAGAAATCACAATCTTGAAATGAAAATATTGCAGAAAACTTGGTAGACTTACTAGTTATGAATGAAGATGCATTCCTGAACGACTTGTTAATTTTATACCTGAAGCTGATGTAAAACCCAGAGGACAGAGACTTTTGTAACAATCTTGTGTTTTTTTTATGTAAAACCCAGAGGACAGAGACTTTTGTAAAAAGCTATGTTTTTGTATGAAAAACCCAGAGGACAAAGAGAATTTTGTAACAATCTTGTTTTTTTATGTAAAACCCAGAGGACAGAGACTTTTGTAAAAAGCTATGTTTTTGTATGGAAAACTCAGAGGACAAGGAGAATTTTGTAACAATCTTGTGTCTTTTTATGTAAAACCCAGAGGACAGAGACTTTTGTAAAAAAACATGTTTTTGTATGGAAAACCTAAAGGACAGGGAGAATTTTGTAACAATCTTGTGTTTTTTTATGTAAAACCCAGAGGACAGAGACTTTTGTAAAAAACTATGTTTTTGTATGTAAAACCCAGAGGACAGAGATTTTTGTAACAAACTGTGTTTTTGTATGTAAAACACAGAGGACAAGTAGAACTTTGTAATAAACTGTGTTTTTGTATGTAAAACCCAGAGAACAAGAAAACTTTGTAATCTGTGTATTTTTATGTAAAATCCAGAGGACAATGAAAATGTAACAAACAGTGTTTCTTTTATGTAAAACCCAGAGGACAAGGAGACCTTTGTAACAATCTATGTATTTTTTATGTAGAATCCAGAGGACATTGAGACAGATACGGAGGTGGACTTTGAAGAGAACAAAGAGGAGACTATCAGTAAATGTAAGTTGTGGTTTTCCCATCTGTGGTAGTATACATGTAGCTCTGTGGTAATATAGCTCAGTGGTAATGTATGTCTGTGGTAATATATAGCTCAGTGGTAATGTATGTCTGTGGTAATATAGCTCTGTGGTGATATAGCTCAGTGGTAATATAGCTCTGTGGTAGTATAGCTCAGTGGTAATGTATGTCTATGGTAATATAGCTCAGTGGTATTGTATGTCTGTGGTAATATAGCTCTGTGGTATTGTATGTTTGTTGTTATATAGCTCAGTGGTAATGTATGTCTGCTAATATAGCTCAGTGGTATTGTATGTTTGTGGTAATATAGCTCTGTGGTAATATATGTCTGTGGTAATATAGCTCAGTGGTATTGTATGTCTGTGGTAGTATAGCTCAGTGGTAATGTATGTTTGTGGTAGTATAGCTCAGTGGTAATGTATGTCTGTGGTAATATAGCTCAGTGGTATTGTATGTTTGTGGTAGTATATCTCTGGTAATGTATGTCTGTGATTATATAGCTCAGTGGTAATGTATGTCTGTGGTAATATGGCTCAGTGGTATTGTATGTTTTTGGTAATATTCCGTCTTTGCGTATTGCACAGTTATCTTCTCTTGGCAGCAGGTATTGATTGTTATGTCATTGGGTTGTGTGAGAAAATTGTGTTGTTTGCTCAAAAATTGATGACGTTACTGTCACAAACAAGTGACGTAACAATCAATACCTGCTCTCAAGAGAAGATAACTCTGCAATACGCAAAGACGGAATAGCTCTAGTAATGTATTTCTGTGGTAATATAGCTCAGTGGTATTGTATGTCTGTGGTAATATATAGCTGAGTAGTAATGTATGTCTGTGGTAATATAGCTCAGTGGTAATGTATGTCTGTGGTAATATAGCTCAGTGGTATTAAATGTTGTTATTTGGTATATAACTGTGGTATAATAGCTTTGTGTTACTGTACATTATACTGAGTTAATATTTTCACTAGTATTTTAATAGAGGAACAGAACACTTGTATTATATATATTAGAACGTGAAAGGTAAACACATTTGACCTTAAAGGTCCTGAATTGTCCTGACCTTTTTATTGATGGAAATGATGCTATGTGTTGTAGCGAGTTACAAGACGGAGCAGGATGAGCAGGACAGCGAAAGGTGGATGATGCGCCACCTTCCGGAGGATGCCAAGGAGAAAATCCAGCAACATGTTCAGGAGTTCCAGGTGGAGCGTCGCAAGCTGGACTACGAGGTCGCTAAGTGGGACGACAGTGGCAATGACATCATCGTCATGGCTAAGGAGATGTGTATGATTATGATGGAGATGACAGACTTCACTAGGTATGTGGAGAGATGTCCCATGAGATAGGTGTGGCAGAGTTGCTGTATAGTTAGGGCACCGCAAGTTAACCCGATGATCACTCTAGATCTCCTGTACAAGAGAGTCCTTCAAAAGTCTGTCCCACCCCAGGTCTGTAAGAAAGTGTTCTACAAAAGTCTATCCCACCCCAGGCCTGTAAGAAAGTGTTCTACAAAAGTCTGTCCCATCCCAGGCCTGTAAGAAAGTATTCTACAAAAGTCTGTCCCACCCCAGGCCTGTAAGAAAGTGTTCTACAAAAGTCTGTCCCATCCCAGGCCTGTAAGAAAGTATTCTACAAGAGTCTGTCCCACCCCAGGCCTGTAAGAAAGTGTTCTACAAATTTCTGTTCTATCCCAGACCCAGACTCTCCTTACTAAATTCTCAGTTCACACAAAGGTTCAGGTGACATGCTTGTCTTATGATCCCATTATGCGTCGCCTATCATGCGTTCGTTGTCGTGCATGAACATTTACATTTCTAGCTCATCTGACCCGAAAAAGTTTCTATGTAGGACTTCTTTATATATCTGGTACAATCTTGATTCCGCTGTTCTTTTCCGACAAACACTGGTTTCAATCTTTTGACTACACGTACCTCTTGATTTGAATGAGAAGACCATGACTACGTCTGAAGTTTTGTTTTGGGTAATGTTTTACAGGGGTCGAGGACCACTGAAGAGCACCATGCATGTCATCAATGCTGCCAAGAAAATCTCCGAAGCTGGAACAGGTCTGGACAAACTGGCTCGGTCCATTGCTGATCAGGTACAGACTTGTTATAACCAGGATATATACAACACCTTCATGTAGAGGGACTTCATCTTAGTAATTTCATCCTAACTTATCATCACATTTTTCTTTTATAAGTGTCTCAATGAAGCAAATATACATAAACAGAAAACCATCCTGAAATGTAAGTCAGTATTTATTGATTTTTCCGGTCAGAAATGTCGCTCTTTACTGTTATTTGACAGACGGTGACCTCTAAAAACACTTGTGACCTGCAGTGTACTGGTACTTGCCACTTGAGTGCATGCGTATATGTATACAGTAAACTTTGAATGTAAATATAAGACCTACGGACATTCTGTTGAACACTGTAACGTATCATTCACGGTAGCCATCTTCTGTGTTCAGACAGGAAGTGATGCATAGAAACATGTGCACATCGCGTTAACAACACATGATGAGTGTAATGTGAAATTACGAGAATCTCCCAGTCGAGAGGCTAGCAATAAGAAAACAAATCATGAAGACTTTTGAGAATTTACGTTTTACAACTACTGTATTTACAAGGCATAAGGATTGAGTTATTTTTGTTTATGAATAAAATGAATTAATCATATTTTCATCAAAACAGAAGGCCATTGGTGCTACTAGCATTTCATGGCACAAAGAACACGGGTTGGATAAGCACACACAGTGTCTTACTGGTAATATTTCTAACCGTTGCAGCCCTAGTCACAATGATGAACGGTGAAGTCACTTGTTACTGTTCACTCACCAACAGGAAATGTCCCGTTAAGTGAGAGATCACTGGACTAGTGATTACCTTTGTCTTTGGTTTGACTCCCTGGTTGACTCCTGTTTGACTCCAAGGTTGACTCCCTAGTTGATTCCCTGAAACATGCATCTTGGTTACATTAATGTAAACGTTGAGTTGCAGTGTGTATATATGAAATTGTTACCTACAAGCCGACTCTTTAATGCTAACAATGTCTCCTGATCTGAGTTTTAGCTGTATGCTGGTGTAAGTATTTGTGGTTGTATCACAGGGTATATACCAAACACACGCCTAAAAGCTGTTATAATGGGCTACATACCTTCTTATAACATGAGGGAATTGTTTTAGAATTGGAGAACGAATCATAAGAATTAATGTAAACTGAAAATGTCCTAAATTGTAATAGGCCTGTCAACATGACTAGTTAAACTTTTCACTCGGTCAGCTTTGTACAATCCACACTATCTTCAGATTTTGTATACTAACACTATGATTGTCCGTTAAAACATTTGCAGCAATTGCCAAAAAGCAACTGTGTAATTCTGCCTTTGGCTCAATGCTTTCTACTTGTCACTTTGATGCTTGACATCCTCCATCTGATAAAGCAGAAAATGGCTTTGATTCAATCATTAAAGGGAATCAGATTTCAAGAGTAGTTTTGTGGTTTTCTATGAGGAGATCTTCCTTAAAAAGAAAGATAATTGGAAGTTGATTAACCCTTTCACCACTGTAGACCATAATGGTCTCATCCAGATCAATGCATGGTAGAGTCTACTAAAGTTACATAGGGGTGAAAGGGTTAAGTTATTTTGTCATTAGAGTGGTGATGTAACGTCTTGAACAATCGGTGACAATGTAGTTGTGGCTAAATGTCTGATGAAATTTCACAGTCAGGACACACAATAACAGCACTATCAATTGATCGATTGGCTCCAAAACTATTATGTATTTCATTATTATATGTATAACCGGAAAAAACGAATTAAGTGTTTTTATTTACAGCTTCAATAACATTTGATACTGTATTTGTTTTCCTGTTAAAATATGTATTATACGGAAAAGGAACATTTATTGTCATGAAGATAAATTATATATTGGATAATAAATGCTTTGCTTTAATTTCAACAAATTTTATTTCAGCAGGTCTAACAAATTAGACTGTCTTCTCATTGCTTTGCCTTCACCATATAGATACAGTGATATATTTGATCAAATATCTGTTTTACAGTGAACATATAAGTGGATATATTCTTCAAACTAAAAGACTAGGAAAAGACTTAGCGATACTTCATACTCACAATATAGTATCTTATGTTAAGAAATTCAAAAAACAAAATCTTTGAGTTAAATAACGCTTATTATACGTTTTTCGTTACTTTTATTTTTATTTTTTGATGATTTAAGTGTTTTCAAGCTTGAAATTGTTTTTTTTTCATCCAATCAAAGATTGTTTTACATTTTGGCTTGTAACTTTCCCACAGGATTATATTTTTCACCAAACTTGTTATGGAATACATGCTGATTGATTTAAACAAACCCCTGTCGTATCCAGATCTCTTCCTATACTGATTTTGATTTTTGTTTTCATTATATATATATATCCTCTATTAAATTATTGTCATTTATATTTAATCGGGACCCTGTATACTTTGGAAACCAGCATTGTTGTACTGATCACACTAGTAAATATTTGTTAATTCTTGCGATCTGTTGACTATCATTGTAAATAAGTGTAAATAAGGTAGCATACAACTTACATAATTTCCTTTTGTTTCTTGCGCTCACCGGGAAGAGTATATTTATTCATATACCAAAATATCTAAAAAATTATACGGCGATATTAAAATAAATTGATATCGAACATCACTGGCCAGATATTTTGGCACCAGTCTTGAAATATAGTTTTCAAAGGTTTTCAAGACTGTACTAAGAGCATGAAGTTGAAAAAGATATATTTGTTTCCTGAGGAGAAATAGTAATCTCACAGACTTCAACCTCTAGATCTAAAACAAGTTATGTCTCACAGGAATATGTCTTATCTTGAACTCCTTGGTTTGATTTGGCTAATTCACCCCTGACATTTCATAATGAACTATTCCAATCTTTGAATTGGAAGAGTTCAAATGTCTCTTCAGGGTTGGTTGAGTTAAACATGCTTTGCCGTCCTCAACTTTCTGTGTAATAATTCTGTCCCTGTGTGTACTCAGTGTCCAGACTCAGCCTCCAAGAAGGACTTATTGGCCTACCTCCAGAGGATCGCCCTGTACTGCCACCAGCTCAACATCACCAGCAAGGTCAAGGCCGATGTCCAGAGTGTCAGTGGGGAGCTCATTGTGTCCGGGGTAAGTCAGGGTCATTGTGTCCAGGGTAAGTCAGGGTCATTGTGTCCGGAGTAAGTCAGGGTCATTGTGTCCGGAGTAAGTCAGGGTAATTGTGTCCTAAGTAAGTCAGGGTCATTGTGTCCGGGTAAGTCAGGGTGATTGTGTCCGGGTAAGGTCGTTTTGTCCATGGTAAATCAGGGTCATTGTGTCCGGGGTAAGTCAGAAGAGGAAAGAAGTAATTCTGGTTCTTCTTTAAACCATTTATTTGGGAATTTGGAAAGAAATATTTCATTGACATTTATTGTAAATTTTCTGATTTGAATGCTGAGAAGGTTATGTGTTAGGCCCAAAAAAATAAATATGTGTGTTTCAGGTATCCCGACCTACCCTAGATTTTACTGTCGACCCTAGATATTTTATCACACACTTGTACATGTATCTGGGATTAAGTTATTGACCAAGCAAAGCTCGCAGCTACTCATTAAAATATAATTGCTTCTTGTCCCGGGAGACTGACCCTGTTCTTGACAAACTAATAGCCATTGTAAAGTGTTGAAATGCATTGTAAAATTTGATATAAAGCATAACATTTATCAATGAAAATAAAATTAGTTGCCTTCTGGCCTACCCTATTTTTTTTTTTTAAGGCATGTCACCTGAAACATATATATATTATTTTTCTAGCCTTAGGTGGTGTAAGAAGTTTTAATTACATTTTATTCCCTATACTATCTCGAGGTTAGAGTCACTTTATCCGTATCCTGTATCGTAGCATAAACTTGATGTCAAAACTGTATTTAGTTCAGGTTATCTTTTATGTTGAATGGTAAAAGCACTCAAAATGAGCTGAAAGTCGTTGTTCATTTACCGTGTATTTACAAATACATATTGCACGTATCTATCATGCTAATACAATCCAATAGTGAATTTGATGTTTTTGTGGCTGGTTGATTTATACAGCTTACACTGGTCTGAAATGAAGTTTGACAGTTTGTGTTTTGTCTTTAAATGAAACTTAATTGTTTATGTTTTATCTTTCAATGAAACTTTGTGTTTTATCTTTATATGAAGTATAACAGTTATATTCTGTTCGTTTTTAAATTGAAATTTGACATCTGATGTGTTTAAATCTTTAAACTGAAATTTGACGGTTTGTGTTTTTGTGACAGTTGGACAGCGCTACGTCCCTGATCCAGGCGGCTAAGAACCTGATGAACGCCGTAGTACTCACAGTAAAGGCCTGCTATGTGGCCTCCACCAAGGTAAGACTTCTCTACCCCGTGGGTTAACTCAGAGTGATTCAAACATAGTCCTGGTGATAAAAGGAATTGATAAAAGAAAAAATGTGATGTATGAAACTTTAGAAGGGACAAATTAAGAGGAAACCTGTCAAAATTGAACAGTTCCGACAAACACAAAGACCAACCTAGTTTGAAATGAACAGGTTTTAGATTATGCAGTAAAATTTTCACAAATACGTGTGAAAGATGCAGAAATTTGTGAACACAGCTTTAGAGAATCAAAGAGAAGTAACTCTGTGTGATAAGGATAATTTTGACTTACATGAAATTTTTTCAACATTCCTTTAATATTAATTACTTGCTCAGGTTCAGATTTGATATAAGTCTGAAAATCAACATGGTTGCCTGTGGGGTAGAAAGCAGGGGAGGCAACATGTTCACTTCTGTGGTGCTCTTGTTATCTGTTATAAAAATGTCTTTTACTAACTGGATTCTGACCATGGTTCTACTCTACTTTCAGTACAAGGTGGCTGGGACAAAGGTGAGTAGTTCTAACAGTACTTAATGTAACAGTGTTATAATACCAAAGGGCTAAGAGATCAAATGTGTGCGACAAATGTCTGTCATGGAATTGGAAAAGTTTGACAAAATTAATCTCTCTTGATAAAATGATGCTTTGGAGAAAAATCTTCTTTCAGATTTTTACAGTAGCTCCAACTGAAGTTTCGTTGCAAATAAAAACTTTGTTGTTCATATTACCAGCTTCGTCACCTGGTCAGGTGATTTTATTTTTACAAGTGAAGATCTGTACCATTTAAAATAAAAATCTTCGTAAATATTTTATGTTCTGATTTAACATCAAACAGTCCAGTTTTGGTTCAAAACGTATTTGTATTCATTATATGAATCTACAGATTACATCTTGTCCTTCTACAAATCAATTGTATATTTTCCTCAGAGTTCCGTGGTCATGTGGAAGATGAAAGCCCCAGAGAAAAAGCCGTTGGTGATGAAGGAGAACCCGCTCGACATACGCGGAAAGATACGTAAGAGCGCACCAAAGAAAAGGATTGAACCGGTCAAGGAACTTAGTGAATTCTCAGAACTTAATATTGACAGCATGTGCTGATAGTTTGACCAAAACTTGGACTAGAGACACAAAATTCTACTACCCATCTCGCTAGACTCTCAGATCCTCTGGTGAATAAGGAACTTTTAGCTTTGAGCTTGTAAGCAGACACAACTCCACTGAAGCTATAGTAATAGTTATTCAGTGTCTCAAAGAGGCCACGTTGTTAGTCCTGGGTTGTCAGGAGTTTCTGATATCCCTGCTTGTTAAGGTCCAGGGCTTTGTCTTGTAGCAGAAACCACTGTCAGAATAATGATCCTAATGGGACATTGAAATAAAAGGTTGTGGAATGTATCTGCCATATTTACAGGTGACGTTCACGCCAAGAATCGTATGTGAAGGTGCGTTACCAGTAATTGAGAATATATATACAATATGCATGGAAAGTATTAACGATTAATTAATATACATTATATTACTGTCTGTAAATTAAGATATTTTTTTTATGATGTTATCATATCACCCGCCGTCTCCATGTAACGTCTACATTTCATTAGTGGTGTTTTATTGTCGTGTTAAGATGTGTTGTTACGTCATTTTTGTCTCTCTAAGTACGTCACAAGAGACCAATACTGCGCAACGGAAGTTTTACGCCTCTCTGAATACTGCATAGTGCTTTAATACTTCAGGGGTCCAATATTGGTAAGATTTAGTTTGTGATTTTGATTCCACTAAAATGGTCTCAAAGAAATTTATTACACAGGGGTGAATTGTAATGACAACAAAATTTCAAGTTGTTTACCAGCATAACACTTAAATGTATTTTTTTTATCCTCTAGGAATGATTTTATTTTTGCTATGGGCATAAAAATATACAAGATTATTTAGTTCAAGTTCCGATTTAAAACTGTACTTAAATAGCTATTTATAGACATTCTGTTTTATACATAAAATGAATTTATCAGTTCACAGCAGTAACTATTCTTCGAATTTGATTATAAAATGAGACATGGATTGATTTAAACAGAAAATCCAATGACTGAAATGTGACATCGGCTTTCAGTAGATCCTTACAACACGCTTTTGACTCCCCAAAATGAACTTTGACTCTTGGTACATTTTGGCTCTCCAAAAAAACAGGGAACATTTTCTTTAACTTCTGAAATTGCTAAATGTCAAGAGACAACAACTGAATGCCCTGCTGCTGCAGAACTCAAAGTCATGGAAACGTTTTTCTTGGCTTTGAATTGATATAGATTAAGATTTGAATGGATTTTGATAGTGTACCTTGTTATGCCCGGTATATGGATCTGATCACATATCACATAGAAACCATATCACAAGGGATCATTGTTATTTGGGGCGCATTTACTACGAGCAGCCGCGGCTCACTCATCGTTAACACATGTAGAGGGTTGATAGTGTTGGTTGCTCATTTCAACATAAAAACTCATTGTTTCGAGAGACTTCAAGCTTTAGCATGACGTCATATTCAATGTTGCAATTTTTTACTATAAATTTAATTTTGTTTTCATTCATCAGTAATGGTTGTGCATACAGACAACTGTTGAAAAGTTCACGTAATTACTTAATTTTTCAATCAGTCCATAACCTGGAGTTTTTAAAGGAATTTTACACTCTATATTAAACAGTTTTTTTGCTGTACCATATTTATATTCAAATAAATATATATTTATTGAATGATTGATGAATAAGAAGTGCTAATATAATACAATCTACACAATAAGGTATAACCAGAAATCCTAAATCACCTATGACAGTGAAACCTGTCTTATCTGGCCCCTGAATATTCTGTCATCTTGTCTAATCTGACACCTGCATTTTCAAACAACCTGTGCAATATGAACCCTGATCATTTCGACTCCCTGTAATGCTGTAGCACCATTTCTTCTGAAAACTACCAAAGAAGACCTGTGTTCACCAACATCCTGTTTAATCTGACAAAGTTGTTGTGTTCCACAGGGTGTCAGATTAGACAGACTTCACTGTGGATATTTGGAAGATATTTATTTGTATATTTACTCATGAAATCAGTTGTGGTTGTGTATCAGGGCCCACTTGTATAAAACATCTCAAAGTTAAGGAAAATCTCGAGCAATGTATTGTCTATGGGAAATCTTATTCTGGAGGAAATCTCAAGAGTTGAGATGTTTTATACAGGTGGGCCCAGGCTTGTATGTGGCTGTTGTTGATGTCTGTGATGTAATGATTTAATGTTGACCATTGTTACTCTGGTTGGATCATTGTCCATTCATTACAGTATCAAAGAGAGTCTCCCTCCCTGAGAGGACACACTGTACTGCAGTATATCTAAAACATTGTAAAACTGTCGCGACGAAGCCTCAAGTTTGGAGGCAAATCTAGCGAGGCGGCCAAATAAACTTAAAAGAACACACCTAACTGGTGACACTACTAGAGTAGGTTGTGACTATAGCCACTTTCTCTATATAGTCCTAATTACTAGTTACATCGGGCTTCATTCAGAAAATGGCTTGTTAGTAAAAAAAAGACCATGCTAGTGTTTTATTAAGATAAACAATTTCGATAGTTGTGAAATAAAATAAAATCTTGTGATGATGAATTTGCTGAGATCATGGGAAAATATTGTTGTTGAATATTTTTCAAATTTAATTTCTCACTTGCGCTATGCATTATTAGAATTCACTCCACTTGCGAAATATATAACTTGTTGATCAGGAAACCAATCCTCTTATATACTGTGTACAGATTTGATTTCATACCCTGTAATTTTAACCTTTGTGGAAAAATACTAACTTTTGTGGTGTTAAGAATTCACGATTTAGAATTATGAGGTAAAATGTATGTAAATTGTAATTAACTCTTTCACCCCTAAAGAGACATTTGAACTCTTCCAATTCAATGGTTGGAATAGAACACTATGGAATTTCAGGGGTGAATGAGTTCAATGACGACATGCAAGGTATTACCAGAAAAAAATCGCTGTACTTTGAAAATTAATTGCTGTGACAATAAATATGTATATACAGAAATTAACTTTATCGGCATTATAGGTTATAAATTAGACCTAAATGTGTTATTGAAAAGCAAATGAATTTGTTGCACCTAGTTCCAGTTCGTTAGTTTGTACATATGAAATCTTGAAGGCATCTTCAGGTATGCTTGCCAGTCAAACATATTATGTAGGTTTTTTAAGGAAATGGGAATATTATATAGTGACTGTTTATTTGTCCAGTAGAATCTCTATAGTAAAGATTGTTTGTGTTTTACATCCTATGAAGAGCTATATAAGGGCGTGTCAGGTTTTGGTGGTGCAGGAAAGCCGGAGTACCCGGAGAAAAAACACCGACCTGCCGCCAGTATGTGGTGACTGCCTCACGTAGGTCTCTAACCCGCGACCATGTGGTGGAGGGCTAGTGGTAGCAGAATGTCAGACGCCTTCACCACTCAGCCACCACGCCCCCTCTCTATAGTAACCCAGAACCTAGTCATGTTATCCTGAACATATTATATATGAATTACATAAACAGGACAGCTTGTTCAACAAACCGATCCCCTACACAGCACCCACTTAAATTAATGTTTGTATCATTTAACTTGGCATCACTCGGCGTAAGTGATGGAGAAACAATCAGACCTGCTGAATTTTCAGGGCTGTAGGGAAGTGTATAATCATAAGTGTATACAAATTTAGGAGTAAATAAAAGTTTTTCAACTTTTTAATTATGGTAGGTGGGATTTTCTACTTAAGTTGGAAGTAAACCAAATTCTAAGCTTATTGCAAAACCGTTTGAGAAATCTTGCTTTTGAAACTTTACTTTTGATTGAAAAGAAATTAAGATTAATTTAATTAGATTTTGACCTTAAACATTAATAAAGGTAAGTTTTTGTAGTCTAACCCCACCCCCCACCCCCAGGATCAGATATATCAAAACTTGCATGTTATAATTGTATGTTATGTGAATGCATGTTACTTTTGTATTTGACATGAATGTCCAGTTTATCAAACCAAAACAGAACAAATACTATATTGACTATATTAAGTGTACTTAAAAACAAATGAAGATACATACAGCTGAGATAGATTTTCATATATAATAAGTTTTTATTTATGTAAATGTTTTATGCATGCTATCGTACACGGATCCTCAGAATGACTTCCTTTATATCTTTTTGATCTCGTGTAGAAGATAATAATTGTTGACACCTTAGATATGTGAAATGAACAGGACAGGATCTTATATCCTGAGCTTTGACTTTATTTTAGTATTGAATGATGGAGAATACGAAAATTATGATTTTATTGAGAATGGATGTGAGTTTAACATTTTATTTGTTAGATTGTTAGACATTTTACACTCGGTTGTGACAGAATGACTTGTTTTGATTCATTGTTGTTTTAATTAATATTCTGACATAGTTTTTTTCATGAAATTTGTTTATTGTAATATGTCCTTTCAATCAAAAAAAGTTTTGATTAGGATTTATTTACAAAATGGTTCCTCCCATTGAAAGGTCACATATTTGTGCTTACTGACTTCCCAAAAGAGTTCTGCACTATCTTTCAAGAACAGTACAGTAAAACCTTGTTATACTGCCACCAATTGTCCAGAGAAATTTTGGCATTATAAAGGGATTTGACAATAAATGAAGGGAAAAGTTTAATGGAATTCATAAGAAATCAAGAAAAATGGCCCTTGAAATATGCTGGTTGTGTAAGAGGTGACAAAAGTTGAACTTTTGAATTATTAAGTGAAATTCAAAAGTATATTGTGCACCATAACTTAGATAAAAATCATGATTTTGTATTAAAGAAACACACTTAATGCATTTGTTAGGAGTTAAGTTGACCATGCATGAAACAAATTGACCTTCGTTACACTGCTTTCCTATTTGTGTGTAAGCATTGTCAGCTTTGACATGAGGACCAGCCTACAGCCATCCATGGTAGATTATGATATATATGTCTTTAATTTCTTGTTTTGTCACGGTTATTTTTAACAATAACGTTTTACTTAGACAGATACATAATGACAATTTTTAATAAAACATTGTAAACCATTTAATGTTATATTATTTTTGTTTCATATTTCGGATTGTGTTTCTCAAGGGTTTTGATCTTCAGGTCACAGGGGCGCGAGAATCAATTACAATGTGTATGTTAAGACCTATCCTGATGTGTAGGATATTATTAGTCGGTTTCAGCGGATGATATAATGCAACATGATCTAATACCTTTGTAATACACCTACACCTACACATCAGATAAGTAAAAACACACCCTGATTCCCAGGTCCCTGTGCATCAGAAGGGAAGTCATCCTTACATTATTTGTAACTTCTACAGCAAATTGTTGTGGAAAAATAAACGAAACGACAATTCAGTTCAAACTTCGATTTTATTCAAATTTCAATGCATAGTCTTATCCATACCGCAAACATATACCAGATAAAAAATATATATACAGGCATATATCAAAGCAAGAGATCTATAACCTCTATATAAATATATACATGTAGGTATATTATAACAGCAGGAAATTGTTTTTTACGGACAAAGAAATAATATAAAAAGAAAAAAATCTCAACAACACGTCTTCAGCGCTTTTATTTCATCAGCTAAGGAGTCGGAAGAATCTCCTTGATGAGATGAAAGCGCTAATGACGTGTTGTTAAGAATTTTTCTTTTTATGTTATATACTGGTATATATATTAAAGCAGAGATCTAAATTCTCTGATGGCAAGCATGAGTAGAGATACGTTCTGTTAACCCAGTTCTGTTTGATAGATAGGGACACCTTGCTTGGACGGACTGTTAATATCTATATCATAGATTGACACGACATCTGATACTAGTTGCCCTGTCAACCGTGAACATTAATCTCCCAAAACCTCATCGAAATCCCCAAGCATGTGTTTAACCTCGTTTTCATTGATTTGACGCATGCATAATTTCAAAAAATTACTTGAGTTGATTCTGATCCAGGCAAATTGAGGAGACTTATACAGAAAGGGATTCACAGAATTGGGTAGTGGAAGGTCTTTGTACGTAGATAAAAATATTATCGGCTCAAAGTTTCCATCAAGCATTAAAATCGCGGTTCATGTGTATATATTTACACATGTATATAGTCATCCCTGTGAAAATAAGCACCGCGAGGTACAACAGTCTATACAGACGTTTGTGATTCCACAGGGACTTAAGAATTTGTTACAGCAGTTATGGTGGAGACCTACACTGATAAGTTCAGAGTAAGTAAATATTTCAGAGGTTTAGATAAATTCCCCGTAACCCCCCCCNTGGATGGGGGGTATCCAGGGTGCTGATCCGATATGTCCAAACATACGAACTGTAACCAATTCTCGGGTCCCTGTGATGTATTCGTCATTCCACAGAAACACGACAAGGCAATGACAAGCATCGTTCTAACTTGCCCCATTAACGACAGGAAACATTTCCATTTTACATAATCGTCATTGTAGCAAGTCCTTCAATAATAACGAGATTTCGTACAGATATGCCATTGTGTGTGCTATAAAAATGCATTGTTCCGGTAAAACAGAGGAGCATGTAAGGTATCGTGTATCAAATACACACACGTACAGATCAAGTCTGTATGGATAACAATGATATACTAAGGATAAAAGGTAGTGATCAGTTTTCAATTCAGAATATTTTGTTTTATAGACAAAAGGAATCGAACAACACTTAAAGCTTATACAAGCTCACTCCTTAAATTCTTAACTTCGATAAAACATAATTATACATTATGTACGTGTATATTATATACTAGCGGCGGAAACCGTAGCTCTACGTCCAATCAGTTTTATTTTATTTTGAAATTTTACATCACCGGATCATCTGTGGTCTGATACTGAATAGAAAAAAAAAAAAAAAGAAAAAAAAAATTCGGACGTAGATCTATATAAGTCTGAAGAATCTCCTTGATGAGATGCGCTCAAGACGTATTGTTAAGATTTTTTCTTTTTATACATGATACAATTCGAGATGGTATAACATGATTTACAATGAAATAAATTAAACTCATTATACACTAAAACAAATAGTACAACACTTTCGCCATGCAGTGTATATATTTTGTAAAATGAAGAGTTTAACAATTTTAAGATGTATACGTATATACATTTATGGAACTGATTTGGACTCCACCCTCGGTCTACATGTGATATGCAGTGTCCATAATTTACACGCAAAAAGACTATACTAGACTGCCGTTTCTCTACAACCAACCAGGAATTTTGGACATCGGTCGGCTCAAAATGTATTTAGTTTGCTGCGCTAGTGCCTGCTACAGTAGTAATTACTGAACAAATTCATGGAGAAGCACATTTTCTGATCATAAGGATTTTAGCATACGGAAACACTCCACACATAAGTTACATAATATATGGTAAAGGCTAAATGACCACGAACTATCATCAGTTCGTGAAATGTTGGATCCGACGACTAGCTCACATCCTTACTGGTGTCTTTGAAACCTGATGATTATTGTAAGAGTTGAGCGATATCCAAAACCGGCGTATCTATCACCCAGGCTCCCGAGAAGTATATGTAATAGACAGATGTAAATAATAAAGATTCATGATAAAGCGATATAACAGATAGAATGGTTTGGATACGTATATTTATCTACCTGTTGTATCTTTCATGGTGTCAGAATCCTTGGTGATAGATAAGACGTTCTGAGAAAACGCGTACAACAGAGCCAGCATATCACTCCTAGCTAACTCATATACCGCCCAGACGTCGAGCATTCACGTGCACTTCAGCATTTATTGGCACGGTTGGTCGTTCAACATGGGTCGGATGTGCAAAAGATTACGTAGACAACGCAGTTGTTTCATAACATCAGCACAAAATTTCTGGCCAAACAAATGTTGTACAAGTTCCAAAAAAACATGGCAATTCTTCAAATGGTGTATTCCAGAAGAATGTCATATTTGTGGGTCCGACCCGACTTCACGTTCAGCCTGACCTTTGTACCCGCGGGGTAACCTTGACTAAAGTCTACCAAACCTTCGTAAATACCGGTACCGGCTTCCACCTCCTCCAACTGGTTCCAATCCTCCCCGACCTTGATCTGCACGTTAACAGCGACCGGTATGTAGTACTTGAACTTTACCGGGTCCCGCTGGCCCTTCATGATCATAACGGGTTCGAACACATAACAGCCCTGTTGTTTCCAGAGCGGGTACTGTTTAGGGAAAGCCTCCACGTAAGTGTCCGTCTGTTGAACATTCAGTAAGTAGTTATACACGTTAATCATGTTCGGTCCGGCTTCATTGTTCGGTAGCGCGTATATTTGGAATTTGAAGAATCCCAATCTTGGAACAGCGATTGTGAAATGAAACTCGTCGCCTTGTTTTTGCGTAAACACGAATTGATTGCATTCCCCCTTTGGGTTAACTCCAAGTAATTTTGTCATGAAGCGCATCGGTTGAGAGGTACCGATTACAATTTCGACCCGATTGGAATCAGAATGGATGACCGGTTCTGAGTGAGACAATGTCGTCAGTCCATAGGGAAAGAATTTAGCCTGAGGTCCGAGATAGCCCTCGGTCAGTCTGGGAAGTTCGACAGCTCCTGCCATTTTCGTTTTCTAGACGATGGTGATATACAGACACAAATTTATGTACACTAGTTCTCCCGACGAATGCCTCTAGTATGTTCCTGAAAGTTAATTATAACTTCACGTATCAAGACACGTTTTACACGTGCATTTGTCCGCTGGATGATATTTAGATAGATTTGACACGTGCTAGTATCTTCACTGTATCATACCAGCGATATGCTCCGCTATCGCAACGTCTATACAAAATGGATCATAACACAACTATATAATCCCCGCGTGATGCGTATATACAACGATTCACTTTCAAGTTCTTTGAATATTTTCCACATATAATCACTATGCTTCTTTCTTGTATACGCTTTGTAATGGCGATGATATGCAGAAGAAAAAAAGACGAGTGTTTTGACAGAATGCCAGGATAACACTGGTGCACAACCTCGCTCCGTACACGATGAAAGCACACAAGGCTACTGTTTCTCAATAGTTTCCGCACTACTGCACCGTTTATGGAGGAAAGAGGGGCGTTTACTTACAACGTATCCGGTTCAGCCTGCATACATGCCGGACTACTACTATAAAGACCACTCGCAGCGGACAAGCAGCGGTCACTGATGGGGGTAGTCGGACATCTGCACCAGGCTAAGAAATGCCAGACTTATCAGATGATCGAGATACAACAAGTGATTTAGATTAGAGCGCATCAAGGTTTGCTTGGAGCATATGGAAAACGATTACAAACAGAGAATGTTTTCAGACTGAAAGAAATGATGGCTTCCTGTGTTATTTTGTTCAAAAGCCTTATTTTTGCAGACAATATGTATTTAAGTGCTTGCATAGTTAGATGTAGATTGTTGGTGTATTGCTGAAAGAACGTTTGAATTCTTTGTACTAGACTGGCTACTAGCCCTTTTAAGCTTTTATGAAGAATTTACCGGCTGCATTTTACTACTAGTTTATCTCACTCTAGTTTGAGAACTAAGAATCAGACATCAAAGTGATCAAAAATTATAAATTTATTTTCTTCTTCTGAATAAGTTAATATTCTAGAGCCAATGGGCCAGCCTAGCTTTGTACAACTAGTTCACAACGTGAAGAAGTTCTATCCCTTTACTTCGGAAACACAAGTGCGTTGTGGTATAGTAACTATCAAGTCTCTCTGTATCTCGATATATATGTAAGGAACATTGTCATATATTTAGTGGTAGGTCAAGCATTCCACACAGAAATATACATATGGACAGGAAATGCAAACAATATCCAATACGAGAAAAGTTTGTAAAATCGAAACTTTCATGAATTCATTTGTAATGATGCAAATGGCATAATCCCCTCCCCCCNCCGATCCCCCCATACAAACACATAAGCGTCCCCCCACACTGTGTAAACAATATCCACAGGATATTTAGAACCAAAAAACCCTGTTGTCTTCAGTTATCGATGGGACAATTTTCGCTCGGTTTCGGACAGCGGGATCTTTCATCGATGTTCGGTTAGCGAGTGGGTATCTTTTGGAGGTGTAGATAATTGCCAATCATACAGTTATATGGCCATCCACTATATATCCAGTGTTGTATTTTGCCAGAGGTTATAGGACTTAATTGGATCTGTGATCTGTTTGTTTTTGGTTCATATATTCAGCCGTAGTACATCCTTTCTGGTCCGTACTAGAGCGTACTTATCTGTTGTCATCCGTAATAAACCGTAATTAACCGTACTGAATTATTCGTAGTACATCCCCGGCTTCAAGTCGCTAAGGATCGGTACGGTTGGTTACGGTGAACTACGTACTTGTACTAACCCGTACTAAAATTAAAATGAAGTTGTGGAATGAACACTCGAGCGCGGGAGTTATAGATATATTTTTCGTTTGAATGTGTGGATGTGAATACGGATTGCTTACCGTGGCAGGTGCGTGCGTGGCGCTCCGTGCGAGTTCTTATGAATCCGTGCCAGACCGTTCTAATTCGTTCTTACCCGTGCGTTCTTAAATCGTACTGAACCGTTGTTAATATGTAGTGCATACGCCGTGACACGTGTCATTCCGTACCAAACCGTACCGAACCGTAGCAATCCGTATCACTCCCCGTTGTCAACTAGCCCCTTTCCGTAGTCAAACCGTGAAGCATTCGTAGCGGGACACGGATACAGACTATTCCGGGGTCACCTGTCACCGGGGCATTACACAACACACACCCATATTAAAATATGTGTCCGGCCCCTATACTTTCTATTGATAACACTCATTAGATCCTCGATTATAATTAAACAATACAACCACATGTATATTATGTCACGTGATACTAAATCACGTGAGAATTGTGATACATTTTCTTCTAAAGAGTCGATCCCCTATGATACAACACTATTTTCATCAATGTTGAAGTGTATGTAATTGTTTAAAGAAACATTTATTAACCAGCTGTATGTTAATTATTATACTATTAAAACTACATTTACACTTTGACGTTAACCAGATGCATAATTATCTGACTAAATTCCCCCCCCCCCCCCCCCCCCCCCCCCCACACACACACACATTCAAACGATAAAAAGTCTGTAACTTGTGCGACATAAATGTTATGTACCAAAATACCAGAGGTATACGGTAAAACCTGACAGAATGACGCGAACGACATCGATACTGTGATGCTCAATACAGCCACATAAGACGGATACGTTGTAAGTGATATTTTGGTTGCAGACACACGCACCCCAAAGGCATGCGTTTGTTTACCTGCCACACTTGAGGTAAGCATACCAACACATCTACATCAGTAGGCAATTGTTCCGGGTCTACGCTGGCATGCTGGAAAACTAGTCTGGCGTGTACACTCGCGTACGACTGAGACACTTATATATAATGGAACGGTCCACGAAGCCTTTGACGACATAACACCTCAAAACGTAAATTATACTAAACTAGCCAGCTAAGTATAATAATGAACATTTTCACTCCAAAACCAAAACCGAAGGGTCCCATCTCACCATTATTGACAGAGTGTGCACCACTCGTGGACGATACGTTTTTAACGACCTTGGATTTTTATGGATGACTCGTTCACTTTTAAAGGAATTCCAGAAATTCGTCTGCGGTGAATACACTTACATTCTTTAGTGTAAAAGTCCCTGTTATTTATGTATCTAAATGTCCTTTTTGTCTCTTATATGTATTTGATAAAAAAGGAGCAGGTTGCTCCGAATATTAATTCGACTTCATTTTTCTCACATTGCCGACTTCAATTAGGGATATACATGTATTTATGATTTCTGTTTGTGTGTTTTTGTGCTTTTTCAGTATTTTACATAATGAACCTTACAGCAGTCTATATATCGACACAAGCAAATCTACGCGCTCTTGATCAACACATATTAGACTTATTCATGTTCACATACAATAAACTAATCAACAGACAAAAAAGACAGTTTAATAATAATAATAATAATAATAATAATAATATACAACATTTATATAGCGCCCTATATCATTTGTAAAATTACTCTAAAGCGCTTTACAACATATGGATACTAGTAAAAGTTACAACTGCGAAACAAAAACAACGGCTTACAATCACTTTTATACATTTAAGCAAGCAATGTGCACATACACACACACACACAACATGAAATTGAACAAATGAAGGGTGGTATTTACATGACGTCTTTGCAGAGACCCTAAAATGCAGATGTGAATAGGTGAGTTTTGATGTCCCTCTTGAATTTGGCCAGGGCATTTGACTTTCTAATAGCAGATGGTAAGCTATTCCACAACGTGGCCGAAACCTATCGTCCGAAACCCAGAGAAATCATTTTGTAAGATAATGATATTATAAAGGTGTTATTTTTGTGTAATACAAAATATTTATTGAAATTGTACACGGTGAAGCACTGTCAATGTTTAACATGCCGTAGATAATCTAAATCTTTGTCATTAACATACGGAACTAGATTTCATGAAACAGACATAATTTTAATATGTGATTTGATTGATGATTTATTGTGATCAGGAAGTAATTTTAAAAGACGTATGTTCATTTAAATTTTATGTCAATTTTCCCAAAGCGATATGGAAATGTGATTTTACAGAATATGATATATGAAGTTCAAAAATCATAAGCACATAGATCGGTAAAGCGCTTTCATCATTAATCTTCAGACGCCTTACAAATGTCTACACATGGATGCACAGAAGAACGGTATAGCAGAGAAAGGCCTCGATAATCGATCTTCTTGTGATATATAGGTATAAATATAGAAAAATAAGCTCTAACGGCCGACAAAAACACAAGCTGCTTTCACTCTTCACAGGGCTCTTCAGTTATACATATATAGCATATGCAACAATAGTAAATCCTTCTTGTTACTTATTTCAGCATCATTAGACTTATTTCATTAAGATGGATTTATTTATTTACGACGCAAGTGATGGAAGCAAAACTATATTTATCAGAAATGAAAAAAACTGCTTAATTAATTATGCCTTGCCACTTCAAAGCAATTTTCTATTAGAACAAGATCAATGGGCCGACAGTTAAAAAACAACCATACTAAAGCCATGAAGAAATTATTATGCAAACAGCGTGGCGAGGGGTGAAATATGTACAGATGATTTTATGTACTAGTATATAGGTAAATGTGATACACACGTGATGCAATTGCATAGCAAGTGTCACCGGAAACCAGAAACGTTTTGAAACGATATTAGAAGAACGATGGAATATATGGATTGTAAATACATTCAAAATTCTATACAAGGGACCTGTAAGACCTCATTTAGAATTATTGCAACCAAGTAGGGAGCGTACATAGTTACAGAGGCAATAGAAAACGTCCAGAGAAGACCCACAGAATTAATACTGGGAATGGCAGACCTGCCCTTTCCACAGAGACTCAAACTCTTGCAGCGTCAAACCTTGGCTTACAGTCGTGTCAGAGAAGATATGATAGATTTTTTTTTTAAATTCATAGCAGGAAAATATGATCATGAGGTGGCCAATTTTATTGCATGTTATAAAAATAATATTGCCACAGGAGGCCATGAAAACAAACTTTACAAAGAGAGACCGCACCTTAACATAACAAAAAAACTCATTCTGTTATGATTCTAAACATTTTCTTCAGGTTGGGAAGTACAGATTATAAAAAGTTCTTTTTACACAACCAATACGATATTCTATGTGACGTTTCGATTACTAGTACGGTATGTACACTGTCACCTTTATCAGATAAATATAAATGATCAGTGAAGCGTATGCACACAAAGGTGTAAAATGTGTACGAGTTGTCCACAAAAACGATGTCGATTCGGCTACTCTGTAAGCGTATGCGCAATACTTGTTATATATGTACCTAAATGACACGATTCAGCTACGCTTTGTTTAATACTCGGTCATAGATGTGCGAGAGTCTATGAGCCCCCTTATCTCGATTTAGAACTGGCCTACTGCGGTGTATCTAGATGGCTTCCTTTATCTGCCG